CCGCGCTTTATTCAGCAACATACAACATTTAATTTCATATTAATTTCACGTTCAAACCACTCAATTAAGTACGGTACTGGCTGATCATTGATGTTTTAATCTTATGTTTGCGTGTCTGAGAGTTCTCTGACATATTATTTTATGTCTCTATATTTGTTTTTCTAGGCGGTGTGTGCATCTCCCAGTCTGTCAAAATTCCCCGGGAGCCCAAGCAAGGAGAGTTCGACAAGGTCATCCGGCGACTCAGAGAAAATCCAAATGCCAGAGTCGTCATACTTTTTGCCAATGAAGATGATATCAGGTATAACCTGGTAATAGATTAACACTTCTTTTGAAGATTAGGAAAACATGACTACAGCAGACAGCATGCAAACATGTGGGAACACAGCCGTTTCAGTGCGGGTCTGCCAGACTACTGTGTAATGAATTGCACAACAAAATCAAAGTGGAGCTGACCTTATCTGTGGCAACATCTGTTTCCTCACCTTCACAGGCGGCTGCTCCATGCAGCGAAAAAGGCCAACCAGACAGGTCATTTTATCTGGGTGGGTTCAGACAGCTGGGGCTCAAAGATCTCTCCGGTTGTGCAGCAGGAGGAGATGGCAGAGGGAGCAGTCACCATCTTGCCCAAGCGTCAGTCCATCAGAGGTACAGAGATGGACATTATGCAAGCATCTGATCTCCCTGCCTTCTAAAATCATGTGCACATATCAGTGATTTATTATTTCCATGCAAGTAAAACAAAACTATTTATCTTTTACTCTTTCAGAAGACTACGTTATTTGTAATGACTTCAACACTCATTTAATCATCAAAGATGTAAAAAAGTTCAGTCAAATAAAAAACAAAAAAGAAGCAAAGTGAATGTGCACACGATATTGAATTATTGCATATACTCTAGAACACATGACAGCTACGGTTCTCATATAGCGTTGCTTACACTGAGAATGACCGCATCACTGACAATGAACCGACTGATCTGTTTAGGGTTTGATCGTTACTTCATCAGTCGAACGCTGGAAAACAACAGAAGGAATATCTGGTTTGCTGAATTCTGGGAGAACAACTTCAACTGCAAACTCAGCCGTCATGCTGTGAAGAAAGGGTCCGGGCTCAAGAAGTGCACAAGTAAGATATTCTCCTGTTGAGAAAAAGCTATTCTGTGTTCTTTTTGTTTAAACTTTTACCCAACATGAAAACATTCCTCTTTTAATGTATGATGAGGGAGGTGACACATTTGGCTCATGGGGAAAGTGTTTTGACAGCATTGCCCACCTATTAAAAGTGGAACCGCTATATATTCAGTCTTCAAAATCACAGTTCATCTCACAGCTCATTTCATTGCTGCTCTATATTTCTGCTGAGTCTAGTGTTTTTATCCACACAGCTATAACAAGTGAATGGTTTAGCTTGGCTGCATGCTTAAAGCTTCGGGCTTAATGCCATACTTTATACAGCTGTAGATAGCACAATCTCTCTTGGTGGGAAAAGTCACTGCATATTTTATCATGATTTAAACCTCTATTAAGTAGTAAAACATATAACAAAATTGAAATTTTGCTTACAGTCACCCCACTTCTGCCCTATCTTGAGAACTGCAACAGGGTAAAAACTAAACCGTACTAAGTTAAATGAACCCCCCTCCCCAAAGAAAAATCCAAAACCAAAGTTCTATATAATGCAGTAGTTATAAGCTGATTAATTTAATATAGGATTTATAGCATATCTGGTGATCAGCTCTTATTAGCATTCACGCCTTGTTACTGCATTACCTTTTCTAACTGCTAAATACTCCATTATGCTCAACAGCTAGTCACCAACCGTGTCTGATGCAGGCAGCTCACTGTTGATTTTAAAGTTGTTGTTTTTTTTGCTAAAAGCAGCTACTTGGTATGGCTGCAAAAAGTTGAGAGAGGAATAAGAGTGCAACAAAACATTGAAACTGTTGGCTAGACACCTAAACGATGATCTGAAGTTGATTATAAAGCTCTGCAAAGCTGAAAGGAGGAGTATATTCAGGCTATAATTCTCTACAGGCTCAGACAAAAGACTTTTACGTTCTACGTTGTTCCACATTCGATATTTCTCGCTGTTTTTTCTTTTTCTTTTCAAAGAAAACAAACTTGCACTGTTTTAAACGCTAAATAATATCAATTATAGTATCTTTAAAAGTAATAGATTTATTTTGGAAAAGCAAAAAGCAAAAGAAACTAAGGTGATAATTAGATTCACTTTTGGAACCCAGCTTATTTCTATAGCCAGTCCCAAGCCCCAGGTAAATGGGGAAGGTTACATGAGAAAGGGTATCAGGTGTTAAAATCAAACAAGCAGATTATTGAGGTTTCCATATGCGATTTCTATACCAGATCAGTCAGGGCTAGAGTTAACAATAACTGCGGAAACGGTGTTACTGTTGGGTGAAGACAAAGAAAGGGGGAAGGTGTGTTTGTAGGTAGCAAGAGAGAAGGGAAGGTCTAAGTGGGGAGGTGAGAGCAGGGACTCTGTAGTCTGGTAAAGGGAAAGAGCTAGTTCATGTGCTGGAGAGAAGGAAGGCATATTGTTTGTGCAAGAGACCAGGTGGAAGGGAAGCAAGGACAGAAACACTGGAGGTGATTGGTAATGAGGTTATTGGATGAGACTTCAGTGGACATGTAGGTGAAGGGAACAGAGGTGATGAGGAGGTGTTGGGTACGTATAGTGTTAAGGAGAGAAATGCAAAAGGACAGATGGTTGTGGATTTTGCAAAAAGGATGGAAATGACTATGGTGAACATGAAGAAGGAACACAAAGGGATGTATAAGAATGCAAGGACGTACACATAGGTGCACTACATCTTATACAGAAGAAGCAATCTGAAACACAAGTGGAAACAAGAAGTGGAAGTGAGTGAAGACATAGGCAAGGATTAAATGGTAGAAATGTTGCACAGATACTGCCATGAGGGCATTTGTCCTATTCTCTGGACAGAGTAAAGAAGACAGAGTGACGCAATGGTGGTCACATTCATAAATGCTACTGCAGGAAAGTATTTAAAGGAAGAGATTAGCAAAGAAAACATGGAAAGTAGTCGGGCTGATGAAGAAAGCTGACAGGACTACTGTGAGACTTTTTAACCAGATTGTTTAATAAAATCTTGGACAGTGAGAGGATGCCTGAGCAATAGAGAGGAAGTTTACTGGTGCTTTTCAGGAACAAGGGTGATGTGCAGAGCTGTAGTAACTACAGAGAGATAAAGTTGGCGAGCCAGATCATGAAGATATGGAAAAGAGCTGCTGAAGTTAGGTTAAGACAGTGGTTCTTAACCTTGTTGGAGGTACCGAACCCCACCAGTTTCATATGTGCAGTCATTGATCCCCTCTTTAGTGAAAAATAAAATATGATTTTTTTTTTTTTCAAATTCAAGACATAGATATGTTTTTTTACTGGTGCACAAAATGAGCCGTGCATGTCAAGGCGGAGGCTCTGCCGAACCCCTGAGACTGACTCACCGAACCCCTAGGGTTCGATCGAACCCAGGTTAAGAACCACTGGGTTAAGAAGATAGGTGATAGGTGCAAACAGCAGTATGGCTTCATGTGGAGAAAAGAGCACAGTTCCAGTGTTTGACTTAGAGTGTTGATGGAGGAGTGTAGCGAAGGTCAGAAGGAGTTTCATAGTGTATTTGTGGTCTAGAGAAAGCAAAGTGGTATACTGCATGAGAAAGCCAGGAATGGCAACGAACTATGTGAGGATGGTGCAGGACATTTTGGTTTTGAGCTCCTTTTTTTCCAGTGGTGATGGGGAGTTTGACAGATGAGGTCAGGCACACGTCTCTGTGGAGGAGGATGATCACAGGCAATGCTGTGATCTGTAATGAGAGCATGGAGCAGGTGGAAGAGAGCCTGGAGAGGTGGAGGTATGCTTTGGAGACAAGAGAAATGAAAGTAGAAGCAAGGCAGAATACATTTGTGTAAATGATAGATGTAACAGGGAATCTACACGGAGCAGAGGAAGTGAAAATGGACAAGTATGCAACTATCAACTATCCGAGAGAGGAAAAAGACACTACAGGTTTGGTGGACACAAGTGCCAGGAGTGATTTGTGACAGTAGGATAGCAGTAAGAGTTGAAAGGGAAGTTTTGCAAGATGGCCTCTTATGATATATGGTTTGTAGACGGTGACACAAATGGAAAGATAGGAGGCTGAGCTGGAGGTGGAGGTGAGTTCAAGATGTTAAGATTTTTTGTTGGAAGTACCCAGAATGAGTATATCAGAAGAGAGAAAGTGGATATACCAGACAAAGGATGTTAAAAATTGAGCTGCCAGGGATGAGTAAAAGTGGGATATCACAGGAAAGATTCATGGAAGTCATGAAGGAGGATATGCAGAGGGTTAGTGTGACAGAAGAGGATGCAAGGGATAGGGGTGGCATGAAGGCAAGGATTTGTTGTGGTGACCCATAAAAGGAACAGGTGAAAAAAAAGAAGAAGAATTAGGTGTGTTATTGGTGGGGAAAAACTCAAGTAAGAGTTGCTGTATGCAGCCCAGCAAGCAAGAACACTGCCAAGAAACAGTCTAACGGTGTGTTCACACCGAACGCGATGGACGCGAATAAAACGCCCCAAACGCCCCTAATTTGACGCGTGTACATTCGCGTCTCAACGCGTGTCCAAGAAAAATCCATCGCGCGTGAACCGGAAATGTGGGAGGAATGTGGGAGGGAGTTGTGCCAGACCTGGTTTTGCAAGATGGCAGCTATCGAGCTAGCGCTTGAAGAGAGAGTCTCCCTTCTCTATGTACTGTGGAGAGCAGAGCAGCAGCGTAAAAGACGTCCTCGCCGTACCTGGGTCCATCAGGTCCTCCAGGCGCGTGAGCAGTTTGGTGAGTTTCACCATTTGCTCCAGGAGCTGCGCCTGGATGACGGCAGATTCCAGCGATATCATCGTCTGTCACCCGGCCAGTTTGAGGACCTGCTTTCCCGTGTCGGTCCCAGAATCGCCCGCCTAGACACCAATTACAGGCGCTCAATCCCACCTGCAGAGCGCCTGTCCGTCTGCCTGAGGTTAGTAAAAGTGGTCAATACGGTAGTCCTTTATTGATACCTGTGCTAATATATGCTAAACCATCCATTTATACACTGCTAACATGGATGTGCTATGCTAACAGTGAATGCTGTCGGTGTTTACTGATGGCATAGCACATCCATGTTAGCAGTGTATCGTGTATACACTGCTAACATGGATGTGCTATAACAGTGAATGCTGTCGGCGTGTATAAACTATCGTTTATACACTGCTAACATGGATGTGCTATGCTAACAGTGAATGCTGTCGGCGTTTACTGATGGCATAGCACATCCATGTTAGCAGTGTATCGTGTATACACTGCTAACATGGATGTGCTATAACAGTGAATGCTGTCGGCGTGTATAAACTATCGTTTATACACTGCTAACATGGATGTGCTATGCTAACAGTGAATGCTGTCGGCGTTTACTGATGGCATAGCACATCCATGTTAGCAGTGTATCGTGTATACACTGCTAACATGGATGTGCTATAACAGTGAATGCTGTCGGCGTGTATAAACTATCGTTTATACACTGCTAACATGGATGTGCTATGCTAACAGTGAATGCTGTCGGCGTTTACTGATGGCATAGCACATCCATGTTAGCAGTGTATCGTGTATACACTGCTAACATGGATGTGCTATAACAGTGAATGCTGTCGGCGTGTATAAACTATCGTTTATACACTGCTAACATGGATGTGCTATGCTAACAGTGAATGCTGTCGGCGTTTACTGATGGCATAGCACATCCATGTTAGCAGTGTATCGTTTATACACTGCTAACATGGATGTGCTATGCTAACAGTGAATGCTCTCGGTGTTTACCGATAGCAAACTGGTACTGTTTATAATATTTCTAGTGATACTCAGATGGTCTCATCAAGTCCCGATTTAATTTAATTCGATTTATGCTGTTATCAGTGGTTGAATGATAGCATGGCTGTGGTGTCATAGGTATGGTGAGCCAGATCATCCCCCAGGTAGCGACGGCCATCTGGGACTGTCTAGTGGACGATTTCACGGCTGTGCCTTCAACTGAAGACTGGCGGTCCATCGCAGAGGGATTCCAGGAGCGCTGGAACTTCCCCCTCTGTTGTGGAGCTCTGGATGGGAAGCACGTCCAGACGAAGGCACCCCCCAACTCAGGATCCATGTTCCACAACTACAAGGGAACTTTCTCCTTTTTAAAATTTTCTTAATAAATGGATCTCTACTCCAAAATAACCTAACCTCTCTTTATTCTCTTAAGTAACTTGTCTTCACTATGTTCCTATAACCAGTGTGATGCAAAAGTTTGAGCAACCTTATTAATAGTCATTATTTTCCTGTATGAATCGGTTACAGTAAAAAATGTCAATTACATATATCATATAGGAGACACACACATTGATATACACTACATATTTATGTTATTTCTCTTTTTATGTGTTGCCAATATATGCACCTGCTTTATTTAGTGTAAAGTTATTGCACACTTTCTGTAAATCCAGTGAACTGCATTTCACTTCTCAAATATCACTGTGTGTGTCTCCTATATGATGTATTTAACTGACAATTTAAATTGTGACAAATAACGATTTGTACAGGACAATGATGGCTATTAACAAGGTTGCCCAAACTTTTGCATCCCACTGTATCAGTATATTTTGTCATTAGTATAATATGAAATAAATTCTACTTGTGTCAAGTCGGGTGCCAATATTTGCTGTGTAGTAGAACAGAGACATTTGTCATTATAAATGTTTATTTGATAAAATATATAAATTCAGTAATAAAAAGATTCAACATAAATATATAAAATTTAACTATTTACAGAGAGACAGGAATAAAAAGGACCCAGCTTGGAGTGGAAGAGCCTCAGGGGAGAAGGAGGAGAAGAATAAGAACATTGTTTCTGCCCTGGAGAGCTGCTGCCTCATCAGAAAACTACTGATCATTAGGGTCCAATGTTTCCAAATTTAGCACAGCTGTGCTGTTGTCAAAAACTAATTTATGAATTTGGAATTTCACGAATTCTCGTGTCTGAGGCGGCATGCTCTCCAGAGCAGGAACAAGGCCGAGGAGGAAATACTCTGTTGCAGACGGGCGTGGCCTCTTTAGGGACTCCAGGATAGCCAGCTCCACCGCCGATGGACCATCCTGGGACCCTTCTCTCGACCGCCTTCGAGCTCTCCTCCTCTGTGGGCCTGTAAAAAACAGAACAAAACACCACAAAGAAATGAGAAGGCTGCTACTAGATTGTCATTTTCAAAATTGAAAAAAACCAGGATATAAACAGATTGGTTGTAGATATTTAGTCAAGGTGATCACAAGGAAATCCAAGCAAGTAAAAAGCTATCAGTGCTTGATGTTCATACCTGTGGGTGCAGCAGCAGGAGTGGAGGGACCAGGGACTGGGGAGTCAGGAGAAGCAACAGGGGAGGACTCTGCTGCATGATAACTTGACTCTATCAAGACAATATTAAATGTTAACAGGTTGAAGACAATAGTCATAGAGAATATTATATTATTATATACTTATTATTATATACAGTGGTCTCCCATTTATTGCAGCACATGAACAGTAGTCACAGTTCTCACAAGTTGATTCTCAAAGTGCAAACCTTTGTCGATTTTAAAACGTAAAAGTATTATGCCGCGCTTTTTCTCCGTCTGCGGCGCCACTTTTGTGCGCCTTTTTTGCTCCCGGTGCAGGTGTCTATTTCCGAATGAGGGTCATAGTTATGAGTGTTTTTGTGCTGTTTTTTTCTATTTGAAGTGATGGTTATCAAAACCAAACATGATAAGTTTGGCAAGCGCAGGAGACACGACACGGAGGAGATTTGTCATTTGGGCTGCAGAATGCAATGCGCATCGTTGAAAGCTGTACGGTGCAATAAAAAAAATCAGCGAAAAGGCGAGGCAGTGACGGATGAACAGCGGGACTACTTTATACTGTTTATTAATAAACAAAATATATTCCTGTATGACAACACGCATAAATTAACTGCCTACATTAATTAATTGTAAACATACCTTCTGACTGACACTCCCCTGCTGCCTCTTCGGGCTGTCCCTGGTCCTCGGGGGAGAAGTTCTCCACGGTCCGCACCATATTACCGCTGGTCTCCCGCGGGGTGAGGAAGGGGTCCAGAAACCCCATGACCGCGAAGAACTTCCATCTCCTCCCCGATCCTGCTGCAGACCCACTCCTCTTCTCCTTCTCTGACCTCTTCTCCTTATTATATGTGTCCCTGAGGCTCTTCCACTTTCTCCTGCAGATGTCCTCTGAATAAACGCATTATCTGGTTAGCGGAAAGGTATTTGTACAACAGTGGGAAAATCGCGGGACAGTAGGCGCGCTTGCTAGCTTTTGCACGGCTTCATCGGGTCAGTCTGAAAATTAAAAAGAAGAAGGAATGAACTTACCAGGTTGCCCGATCTCCTCACTTATGTGTCTCCAAGCTAGGTCCTTTTTATTCCTGTCTCGGTAGAAATAGGAGCTGGCATCATATAGCTCGGGGTGGTTAGCCACGGCGCTGATCAGCTTTTCCTCCATACTGAATGAAGAATGAAGGGCTTTGGCTGGATCTGCCCCTTTGACCTAGGTCAGAGCCACGTCACCAGGCTCCTGATTGGTTGTCGCGGCGCGATTTGACGCTGGAGTTCAGATTTTTCCAACTCGAGCGGTAGACGCGAAACGCGCGTATGCACAAAGTGCAACACAAAAACTCACGCGCGTGGTTTTATTCGCGCGTCAAACGCGCCTGACGCGCTGCACTGACGCGCGTTTCACGCGTTTTGGCGTTTTCGCGACGCAAATCTGCTTCCGAATTTTCGCGGGACCCGCAATCGCGCGTCATCGCGCCTTTCCATTGACTTTACATGTAAACCTGACGCTCTATTCGCGTCCATCGCGTTCGGTGTGAACACACCGTAACATTGCTCTCGACTGTCAGGTCTTAGTGATCCCTTGAGAATCTCCCAAGTTTGAAAATTGCCACGTATAGCCTCAACCCTCGAGTGACATCAATTAATGGAAATATTTCTCCCTAACGTATGCAGAGTAGCAAAATGACTAATTAATAACTACAGCATAACACTGAAGTCTGCTGGAAAATGTAACAATACAACAGAGAAGAAACCAGAGACACAAATAAGATTTGTATGATAATGACCATCATTACAGCCAAACACTGCAGAATTGTTGCAGATTTCATGCAGTAATAATCCATATCTTCTTAATTACAGGTAGCTAGTATTGCCATTAAAGGCAGATCATCACAACTGGACTGTTAGGATCAGTTCTTTCCTCTAAAAGAAGAGTCCAAGTGATGACTCAGTGGCTTTTCAACAACCTAAAAAATTAACACTCAAATGCCCAGATTTGAATTATTTAATATGACGATAAATTTACGCTTACAAATTACTTGCATATTCTCTTTATTCTTAAAATGTGACAGTATTGTGCTTTAGAGGATCATGGAAAGCTGGATATAATAGTGCTCTGTGTCATTCTTTTGGTAATAAAAAGAAAGTTGAATTTGATTGAATTATTGTAATTTCATATAGCCCCCACTTGCCTCTGAAATAAACATATACTAAATCGAGACAGCTCACTGTGAGGACACAAAATATACAGCAGATAAAGAAGTCAATCACAAACAATCACATTATGCTTCATAACATAGTTGGGAATGAGGAATAATTTGGGGGGCATACAGCATGGACAGAAAAATAGATCAGCACACAATTAGAGAACACAACGTTTAAAAAATCCCTCTCTTGAATTTACAGTTAAGAATGAGCAATTTGTCTTTAGGCGGAAACCATGCAAACTCCAAGAAATCAAAGGAAATAAAAGTAACAATCTAGCTGCTGTACGGTGAAAGCACTAACCACCGAGCCACCACTCTGCCCTGGAGCCAGATGTGTATATCCCCAATCTACATACACCAGTTTCCACACATACACTAGTATTTATAAACAAGACTGTGTCGTGACAGCGTGCGTACAATACTTCCACACTGGCTTTATATGGCGGTAATCCACACATCAGTGGCTGGGCTGAGTTTCACATGCTGCAGCATTATGAGTAAGAGAAAGAAAAACATCAAAGACAGAATCTGGGCAGGATTTGGAGTCGGCGCATTGCACAGATTCACATGTACAGTAACATTTATGAATGTGAGCACAGTCATTTTCTGAAATAGTGACCTGACTGGCAAAGTTTACTTTGCTTTTATTTCTTATTTCTTCAGCCCTTCAGTTAATGCTAATTCAAAATTTATAGATCTAGATAGCTTTTAATGTTAAACCCCCCCCCCCCCAAAAAAAACCCATGAAGTGCCTCGTTAGGTTGACAGCACTCATCGGGACTGCAGCAGCAGAAAGAACCAAAACAAAATACAGTACACTGCTTGAATGGGTGGCGGACAATAGGAGTACATGATTCTCTTACTAATGATGGAATTTGTGTTGAAAATGCATGCTATCTTCACTCAGTTCAGCTGTTGTGAGGCCACAGGTTAATGTTACACTCTTCATTGTCTTTATTCTTTTCATTTTTTTATATTTAGTTCTTATGAGGAACCAGCTTTACTTTTTCTTCTGGCAATTTTTGGTTGCAAAAAACAAACAAACTGATTTTGTTGCAGGGAGGGGGGAATCCCTCTTAGTGCACTTCAGTAGTGCCATAAATCACAAAATGCTCCAAACCAGCAGGCTTTGTGGAGGTGGGATTTACAGCATGACTAAATTAGATTTTTAAGGTGGTTGTACGTTGTCTTACAATGCTATATGCATCGGTCACAGCTGTGCATTACCCTACGATATAACATGAATAATATAGACTAATTTTATTTATTTATTTATTTGTGAAAGATTTCCAAAGATTTTACCATGCTATTTATTGCATGGTAAAATTTGAAGTGACTGTAATAGACCACTCAGTCAAGAGGACTTTGTGGCAGTGCAAAATTTACAGCTTACTTTTCTAAATGTGATGAAGAACTCTGATTTGTCAGGTAGTTAACTGCCAGAGGAGACATTCCCATTTAGATATATTACCTCTAAACAGTTTCTCAATTAACTCTATGAAAAATATACTTGATATGAGACCCCAGCTGATACAGGATTCTCAAGACTGATATCGATATTAAGCAATTTAAAAATCCCATTATATCAGTCCATATTTTTTTATGTGAAGCTATTTAAGTTATTACTAAGATAATATAACAGTGCAGTTTTATAAATAAACTTATCATCACAACAAGTCCTAGGTTAATTAATTATGCTCTACTCCTCAGCTTGTTGTTGTGTTTGTGGCCACACCTTTTGGCAACAGGGAAGTTGCAGAATACCCCCTGGTGGACAAACTATGTAATGCAACACTCAGGACATGGTTGAAGGGTGTTTCTCCCATCTCGTCTTCACATCATTTATCAGTTGGTATAAATGGCAACACAAATATACTGACAAATAATAATATTTGTTTTGTAATATAGCAGTTGGACTACCTGATATACTACTAAATCGCTATACATTACTTTGTATTGCAAATGTTGAATTGACTTATTTTGCATCTTTTACCTTAATGTTTCCAAATTTTCTTCAACCACTGACAGTGGAGTGTTACGTTTCGGTGTTGTCAGTGTGTTGTTTTTGGCGTGACTGTTATGTGTTTCCTGTTTTACTTTGAAAGTCTGTGTTATCTTAGTCTTTTCAGTTTACGTTTCCCTGTCTCGTCAGTTCTGAGTTGCCCCAGCTGTGTTTCCCTCTTGTTGTCCATTTTCCTGATTCCTCCCTCTAGGTATTTAAACCCTGTGTTTCAGTGTGTCATGGTCGCGATCTCCCCCGTGTTGTAAATAGTTTGGTGTTTTGTTGTAAATAAATAGTTTGTTGTAAATAGATTTGTCGATACTTTCGTTTCGGGATTTTGGTGGTGAGCTTTAGTGGGGTTTTTTGTGTGTGTTTTTTTTTTCTTTATTTTTACTTTTTTCGTGTTGCACTCCGGTTGCCTAGGCCGGGGTGTAACATGGAGGTACAGTAAAACCTGCTTTTCTTCCTTTGTTGAGCATAAGAAGTCATAACAACTACACCAAAGCAAAGCAATTCTGACGTACGGTGTAAATGGGCATGTTGACATGCAATTATGCATGATTGTGGATGATCATGCCACTTACCTCTGCTGTACTAATGTGTATAATAACATGTAATGATAAAAGACAAGGACCCCTGTGCTGAGACTCTAGAGAATCTTAATGTTTATTTATTTGTAGATAAAGGGCAGGGTTGGTAAAACAATAAATAACTGAAACAGCCCTGGTGAAACAGTACAAACAAAATACACCAGAGACATACTTTTACTCAAGGGGTGAGCTGCAGAACCAACAGCTGGTGCTGTGTTCACAGGCAATAAAACCCAACACAGAGTATTCTAAAGAGATAACACAGAGGGTTACATTCAGGGCATCACTCAGGTGGATAAGATAGTACTGATGGATCAATTTGTCTACTGATTGGCTACACTGACCTGCCCACCCCCCCAAGAGGAAATGTTGCCAAGAACAAAAAAACTAGATAACTCCAGTGACCCTCTGGGAGTCTGCAGTCTGATCAACACCATGGCCAACACTCATACCATGTTTTCATTTCCTTATATAAATGAGATGGAAAACATGGCACATTGTTTATGTTTGGGAGCAAATGTATTTCCATTTATTCTTCTTTGTGTCTTGAAATATCTGTAGTAGTTTAATACTGAATGTTGAATACCGATCTAGATTGATATTAACACATGGGTCTGGGGGAAGATTTACAATATATGTTTTGAATTAGTGTTTGGTGGTAAAAATTGCAAATAAACAAACCACCCTGTTTCCTCCCTCCCAAGTTATAGAAGATAAGCCAGTTGGTAATCTAAATATTTCTTAATGTCACAAAATCCTGTGCAGACCAAAACAAAACAAAATGTCAAACTGTTTATTAATACTGTCTGACTTTCCAGCTCTGTCTGTGGCACTCCATAGTCCTTGTGTTTCTTGTAGATGATGCAGACCTTTAAAACTCATCAGGTCGCATTGTTTTTGTTTTGTTTTTTGAAAAACAAAACAAAACAAAAGGCCAAATCATTTCTTAAAATAGCTGGGTACTGCATTTTTGAGCAATTACAGCAACAGAGTTTATTATAATGAAGTAAGGGAGCATTAATGTGGCTTATTTTGTTGGGTTATTTTCTGCAACCAAAACAGGCTTAATACACCTTGGTACTTATTTGGCAGGTCTCTGGAAATCTATTCTCTAACACAATTTTCCCAAAGATATTCCTTAACTTTGCATTCTGATAAAGGTTATGAGTACTGGCCCAAAATTTCCCTGAGGTGACCCTTCATGCATTATCAGAAGGAACCGCTCTGATCAGGATAGAAATTTTCATCAAAGTAAAGGTGATCACTCGGCCCTGTACTTATTTGCAGTGACCCTTGCAGCGACCTCTCACTCCCTCAGACACACACACACTATAACAAAGTTACTGAATTCATCACTGTAGAGATCAAGGTTAGTTTAGTTTTTGATCAGAGATATCAAAGCTCTGTTTTATGTTATGG